ATCGAGGTGGGAGAAAAGATTGTCGAGGATTTCGGATTTTAAGACACGATCGTGCATTTCCACTATTGGGAAACGCGTTATGATATAACGGGATAATCATTACACAGGCGGCGTAATAACAAGTTGTCAGATCGATTAACAATTGAAACACGGAGCTTGATTAATTAATTTCCAGCCGAGGCTTGCACAAAGATGTCACTCCATCGAGCACAACTGGCAGAAATTTCGCTCGTGCCCCGTCTACAATTAACAATTAATGGCTCCTGCCATTTAACCGTAATACTTTCTCTGTACGTGTTACAACCGCGTTTTATTTAGTATTCGTCGGCGATATTTTGTTCCACGTACTCTTTGTTTTCCCGACAGTGTTACGGATGTCTATTTTTCGATTACCATTCGAATATTCATCCTGGCGTTAGAAATGTAGAGAACCGTGCTACTTTATCGCAACAATAGTTAGCTTTACGAACACGTGTTCGAAAAGGTGTTCGATTTCGTTAACGAAGGAGGCAAAGCGAACGAACTCGTGCAAGCATGGAACGTGCATATACGATACGTGCATAACGACCAATCATCGGTGAGCGTAATCGATTAATATACTATTTCCGAGCCGGACGTATATCATTTGCAACGGACCAACGAATCGACGTGGTCGACATTTGCGCTGCCTCTGTTATTTATCTTCCTTCCTTACTAATTTCTGCCCCATTGATTCGATTTTTAAGCGAACCCGAAATTTCCTTTTCGCGAGGTTAGCTGCGAAATTGAAGAAAAATCACGAGAACGTCGTCAGCCACTGATTTTTCGATGCAATCCTTTTCGAGAAGTCTTGCTCAAGGCGATGTTGTATATGGCACCATGGGCAACAGCTTGCCGTGCCAACTTTTGATTTAAGACCATGGCAAAGTTTTCCTCAAGGTAGTCAGCCAAGCGGCATATACACGGCTCGATTTTCTTCTTTTGATCTACCAACCATTTTACCGTAGCTATGGAGATGCTAATTGAATCGGGAGATTTGATTTTATACCGCACTCGTGGCTAACGACTCGAAAACTACTTGGAAATTTACTCTGCTTCGAGACTGCCTAATGATTTTACGAATCTAATCGCGTTGGTTCGTTAAACACGATGACCGACGTAAAATTAAACGAAAAATGGATTATCTCTCTCATTCGTGGTCTATTGATGGTAGGGAAGTATATGTATATTCGTGCGTGGTGTTTTTGAAATAATCGCATATGTTTTATAGTACGACATACGGGATAATGCACGAAACTTATCTGAAATTTTATTTTAAAAGTCTAGAATTATCCTCGTGACCTTCACTTGACTTTCATGATCGAGCTCTTTTAATTACATAAATAATTTTCATGTATATGTACTCGTATATAGTATCTTTTAAATAATCACATATATTTTATAGTACGTCGTCGCGAAAATTGTCTGAAATTTTATTTAAAAAGTCTAGAATTATCCTCGTGACCTTCACTTGACTTTTATGATCGAGCTTTTTTGATTACGTAAATTTTCATATATGTATACTCGTATATAGTATCTTTTAAATAATCACATATATTTTATAGTACGTCGTCGCGAAAATTGTCTGAAATTTTATTTAAAATATCTAGAATGATCCTTATGACCTTCACTTGACTTTCATGATCGAGCTCTTTTAATTACATAAATAATTTTCATCTATATGTACTCGTATGTAGTATTTTTTAAATAATCACACATATTTTATAGTACGTCGTCGCGAAAATTGTCTAAAATTTTATTGAAAATATCTAGAATGATCCTTATGACCTTCACTTGACTTTCATGATCGAGCTCTTTCAATTACATAAATTTTCATGTATATGTACTCGTATGTAGTATTTTTTAAATAATCACATATATTTTATAGTACGTCGTCGCGAAAATTGTCTAAAATTTTATTGAAAAAATCTAAAATTACCCTAAAGACTTTCATCAAGCTTCTTCGATTATGCAAATTTTCATACATGTGTACTCGTACGCAGAATTTCTTAAATAATCACGTGTTTTACAGTGCGACAAATTATTTGACATACAGTGTGATCCACGTAGCCACGAAAATTGCGTGAAATTTTATTCGAAAAATCTAGAATGATCCTAGTAAAGACTTTCACTTAGCTTTCACGACGGAGCGTCTTCGATTACGCAAATTTTCTATTTACCCCGGTTTGCATATGCCAATATCGTTCTATATTCGCTCGGTTGCGCGTTAATTAAATCGATAACGAATTAATTCCACGTTAATTCGCGTTGATGTTTTCCTTCCTGTCTCGGCCGTTGTCTTTCGCCGTGTCACGCGACATCGTCTCGTCGTTATCCGCGTTAAGCTTGCTCGATTACGCAATGAACGACACGCAATTTCCGTTCGATTCGCGTAAATCGTTGCCGTTTCCTCCTCGGAGCACAGCGTCGGGACATTAATTACCAGCGACCGCGCATCTGTCGAGCTTAATGCTAGCAGCGCGCAGTTATTAAATATCCGATGGCCGACACGGAATGCAATTTCCTCGGGAAAAAAGCTCTGCTCTCGCGTGTATCACTTTGAAAGCTCCACTAAGATTCATCCACGCGTATGGCAACCCGGACCGAGGAGCGAATGGGGAACGCAAAATGGCTCTGGCCTCTACATTCGCGTGGGTATTGCACCGAGTAAATTCCGCTCTTAAGAAATTCGAATCTTCTCTCAAGCATACGATGTTATACCGCAGTTCTCGATTTTAATTCAAGATATTAGTTATTCTTGGAGTCAACTATGCGATACAGGCTTAAACCCTGGAGCCTCTGCTCTGAGACATCAAGAAACGCTTGCATGGATTTTTCCTTCTTCAAATTCGTTGGTTTTTGAGAAAGTCTAGTCCCAAAACCAAGGCTGAACACTGTACTTTGCTTAACGTTATCACTGCACACGCGTGATATACTATTTAAGTGACGTGTATATCAATGATCGATGATATAAAGTGCCCTTACTAGCAGTCATTCGTCTATCGACACTCGAAGTGGAATTATCGGTATACAGCCAGACATGGACGCTTAAGAAATGCGCAAATAAAGGAAAATAAAACGTAGAAACTGTGTGACAAAGGAAACGGACGACACGTTTGGAAGAAAAGCACTCAAGAGACTTGCCTGCAGGCCATCCCATTGACTTCTTCTGACCTCCCTAGAGCACGCGTACATGTATAGGTATACCTATATCAAAGGAAAAGCGAAGGCGAATGAAGCACGAGAGCGATAACGTCGAATGCAGAATTTTTAATCGAAAGTTTAAAAATAGTCGTTTAGACCACGGCAGATCCAACGTCGAATAATACGTGCACCACGAAACTGGGATTGCTTGAACGGGAACAAGGAGAACCGACAGAAGCGACGGCGAGGAAATTCGATTAAGACTGGCCAGTTAGTAGGCAGCTTTTATCAAATAATGGGCCCATTTTCACCCCGTACAGTGGTCACGTCTATGATTAATCGGCCGGGTGGAACGCGGTTCGGTTGCCTGTGCCTCGTGCCAGGGTGCCGTGGAAATATTCCTCGCGATCGCAGGCTGAGAATGGAAAACGCCGAGCGATGCGACCGCCACGCGTACCTATCTGGGTCATCTTTATAAAAGCCGGTTTATTACGTACCTGGCGTGTCCTGTGCCTTGCGGGAAATTGATTCCATGCCGTTGATTATCTTTTCCAGGCTAAGCGCACACCGAGGACCGGCGGTTCGTGCTCGTGGACACTTTGCATGCTGGCCGAGTAAAAATATTCGACGAAAAAAGCAAAGCACGCCGATTAGAGTCGCGTTTCAAGAAACTTCGCCGAAAGGCCTCGCTAACCTGTGCACCGTGCTTCCTTTTCCTACCTGTCACTCGGAATGGACACGAAGAGTCTAAAGTTAGTCAAAGTTTCTAAGATTCGGATTCGCGAATCGTTCACAGAGTCGTGCTCTTTTCATGGTGGAACTAGTGACATGTCACGCGTGTTTGGATGTAATATACGACGTATGATAAGATGTCAAGTGAAGCTGTGTGCCACGAGTGTGTAGGAGATATGCAAGTAGAGTATGAAAAATATTATCGATATTATAAATACGGTATGATCAGGCTTGGCGTGGTTCTAAGTGCAAACATAAGTTGGAAGAAAGATGGAAACCTAAATGAAAGATTGACATCCTGTATAAAAATGTTATTTAATTTCCCCGAAGCAACTGCATGCTAGTGACTGCAGTAAAAATTAAAGATCGGAATCCTGATGGATATTCTAAGAAAGGTATAATCAGGCTTGTGGTGGTTCTAAGTGCAAACATAAGTTGGAAGAAAGATGGAAACCTAATTGAAAGATTGACATCCTGTATAAAAATCCTATTTAATTTCCCCAAAGCAACTGCATGCTAGTGACTGCTGTCAAAATTAAAGAGCCGAATTCCGATTGATATTCTAAATACGGTATGATCAGGTTTGTCGTGGTTCTAAGTGCCAACATAAATTGGAAGAAAGATGGAAACCTAATTGAAAGATTGACATCCTGTATAAAAATCCTATTTAATTTCCCCAAAGCAACTGCATGCTAGTGACTGCTATCAAAGTTAAAGATCCGAATCCCGATCAATATTCTAAATACGATTAATATGATCAGGTTTTTGGTGGTTCTAAGTACAAACATAAATTGGAAGAAAGATAGAAACTTAAATGAAAAATTGACACTCTGTATGTAAATCCTATTTAATTTCCCCGAAGCGTCTGCATGCTAGTGATTGCTGTCAAAATTAAAGATCCGTAATCTCGAAATCCCGAAATTTTTCTAGAAATAGTGGGAACATGCGATGTAACTTTGGCTTAATTTTTGACAGGAAAAATCGGTGAATTAGAATCTTTTTTCGCACCGTGTAATTTCCTGTCCGAGGAATTACCGATTATCTTCGCATGAATAACTCTGATACATTTTGCGTTGGTTTTTCAGGGATGAGAAAATGCTTCTGTGATGTTGCATCGGAGCACATCATCGCGATGCTGTAGGCCATCGCGGAATATGACGAATGTCGGCCACATATCGCCGAACACAGGACCAAAGGGACGACGAGCCAGCGTGGCAACCGACAAACCAGTCGATCTGCCACCCCCGTGTCTTAGAGGCACCATGGAACGCCAACGTTCACCCCGCAGCAGCATCGTGCCTGACATCGCACTTGACATGGGAAACGACGTCGAGGTTGTTCATAATTCACCATTCTCTCTGTTAAATTTACACTAGTCGCTTCTTCGAATTTCCGTGGTTGCTGGGAACCGGTACCACGTTCGGATGATTATGTTAATAGCAGAGTCGAAGGTTCTCTACTTGCTCGAGGGTTTCAGACGTCGGGCAAATTCGAAATATTCGAAACACTCGCAACGTTTCTCTGACAGTAAATAAAGAAATAAAAATATCGCGTGTCAGGATTTCCAAAAATTCTAATTTATTCGTTCATTGAGTTGCGAGGTATATTTATCGGTATATATATATTTGTCGGGAGACGATATTTCGAGAACGAAAATATACTTCTTGCAAGCACAGATTTAAATCGCGGCGCGATACGACGACAGTAAACGTGAATTGATACCGAGGTATCGATATTTCGTCGTCTCGAGCCAAAATATCGCGAAACTTACTGCTCGGTGGGTCCATGAACGAGACACGGCGCGGGAAGTTTCGTGGTATCCGGACAACTCGTCTTGCAGGAAGAAGAATTATTCTAAGCGAACTCGGCGTGTCCCGATACGCGAACCGCAGTCGAAAATTGATTTCGAGCGGCGTATCTTCTGTTCCGTACTCGTATTCCGGTTCACGGTGTAATTGATCGAGAGTTGGAAACTCGCGGTGGAAATGGGGCATGTTTATATCGTGGACCGTGTTCGAGCCGAATCAGCTGGAACTTGGCGCGTGATAGGCGAAATTTCCTCGCAGAAATGCTCGACGTTTTTACTTGCGTTCTTCTTTCGTAAAGTTTCATCGCTTTTGAGGATGTACCCTTGACCTTTCAGGGCATCAACCATAAGCCTCTTCTGGAGCGTGATCAATATGGCGAATCGCGGAACGTGTTCAACCAGAAGATCAGTCGCAGTCCACGCAACTCCTTGGTCCCGGACGACTACTACAGGCCCCCACGAAATGGGGCACGCAGCCCTCGGAACAGTTTGGTCCCCGACGCTGGCTTGACACCGGACATGCTGTACAGCTCGCGACACTCGTTGGTTCCCGAGGCTTCCCTGAGCCCGAGGAACTCCTTGATACCGGACGTGACGCACAACAGAAGCGCGAGGAACAGTCTAGTTCCTCTGACAGGGTCCAGGGTGTCTCTGATGTCGGAGAACGGGAACCCTCCGCCACCTCGCAGTCCCCGGCACTCTTTGGTCCCTAATGCCTCGAGGAGTCATCGTGGAAGCATCACCAACATGGAGCTGGTCGATCGTAGCCCCCAGAGAAGCCCACGGGGATCTATAGCTTCGGAATGCTTGAATCAGAGCCCGAGGAACTCGATCGTTACATACGACATGAATAGATCCTCGCGAGGAAGCATCGGCGTGAATGACGTGCCCAGAGGATCGATCGGCGGTAACGAGGAAGACACGAGAAGCCCACGGCGAAATATCGATCCCGAAACGATCGACAGAACTCCGAGGGGAAGCCTAGGCGGATTGCAGGAGAGGAGGGTCACAAAGACGAGCCTGATGGCGCAGGATCCGAGGAGGGCCTCGGCTGATCAAGGTGAGAGTTTGTTTGTTGAACTCCGAGGGGAAGCCTAGGCGGATTGCAGGAGAGGAGGGTCACAAAGACGAGCCTGATGGCACAGGATCCGAGGAGGGCCTCGGCTGATCAAGGTGAGAGTTTGTTTGTACTACGAGAATGCTACTTGGCTGTACGCTAATCCGATTGGCTACGAGATTCTGGGAATGAATACGAAACTGAAAGCGATTTATACGGATCTGAGAATAGACGGAAATAGATCAGCTTCTTAACTGGCTTCACGAGCCAATTTAATCGCTCCGATTAGTCTACTGTTTGCTTATTAAGCTTGTTAATAATTTTACTCTTCTTTTACAGAAATCTTTTACAATTTTTCCCCTAGCTTGTGTACATTTTAGGTTATGTCAGTAATATTACCGTAAGCTTGCTCATATCTACGAGCAGGAACAAGTGGAACAAGATTGGCTTTCACCTGCCATGTTTTTACTGTACCAGAAAATTAAACGTAATCTCATAACCACGTTCGTGGCACCGATACGGTGCTGCATTCGATGAAGTAATTAATCATGTTGATTCTCCCTATCGCGAGTCATCTTGACGTAACGCATGGCTCTCCGCAGCGAACGTGATTGAATTACGTCCTCTGGCGCCTAGAATCTTACGGCAATTCGACACTCGTTACGGACTAATTCGACGCGACATCTCAAGAGGCCCGTAAATTTCCTATAAATCTGCTTGGTTTTACCGACCAGTCTCATAGACGCATGATTTCAAGCGTAACTCAAGCATACACGTGCGAATCCGATCGCTCGTTGATCAGAGGGGATTCGAATCAGGTTTTCGAATATGAACCGAATGTGGACCGATCCAACTTGTATCACGACCTCGACGTCGAGAAGTAGAGAGCAAAGACGAGTTATTCGGCTGAGCTAATGATCTAACCTGATCATCCGAGCTATTACTGGCATGTGCAGCACGGATAACGATAGGTCCGAGTTAGCGTCGCGAGACTTCATCGGTTTTGACACAACCGCATTAAGCTGGCTCAGTCAATCCTGCGTGTACTTACATGGCGCTCCTGGACACGAGGTCACTAGGCCCAGTGTAAACTCCAGGCGTGAAGCTATGAACGTGAAGCTACTTGGTGGTAACTGGTCCACGAACACACTGTCGCGTTGCGTGTTTGGCTCCTGATACAGTCTAATGGGCGATTGAACACGGTAATTACCCCAAATTGGCGCCGACGAATTAAAAAGTACGTGTCGTTTGTTGCTCTAACCTAGAAAAAAGCAGAGAGGATAAAGGGATTAGCTAGAAGAGAGTACAATAGATGATGGAATAATCGATGGATTAGCTACACGCCGAGGATTACGCGCTATTGTTGGTAATCGACACCTTTCCAGCAGGATGCAGTCAATAGACTCGTAGACTGAAAACGCAGGATTTATCGGCACGAAAATAACGACCTCGCAGAGAGAAATTAATAACTGGCTTTTGTCGCGGGACCCGTGCCAAGATAGAAAGCAGCCGAAGCATTCGACGGGAAATTGTTCGTGACTGTGATCCCTGAACTCGATGACCCTGTATTTTTAAATACACTGCGTCGGGATCTCCGAGGTATCGTAAAAGGTACCGTTTTAAAGGCATACTTTATGAAAGAGGTAACAAAGTAGGAGAAAAAGATTCCCAGACTCTCGACTCATTTCAATCCTTCTTTGTACTTTTATAATACACAGATGACCGATTTTCCTTTCTTACCGATTCGTAAATTTCTCATCTAAGGAAACGACTGCCGTTTCGACCAGGGAATATGGTAATTTTACGAATTGTCTGCGCAGGTATGAACGGCAACCGGAATTCCTCGCCCTCCCGGCAGAAAGAGGTGAACAACTCGGGAAGCACGAAGTCTCGTGGAAGCACGGTCCAGATAAATTTAGGTTACACCCAGAACACCTTCGAGGATTCTAGACGAGCCAGCAGCTCCGTGTCTCTATTCCTGCTCACCCTTCGCACAGAGAAGCCATCGAATATTTAGTATTCGGAATATTTCATGGCAAAAACAAAGACGAACAACAACCGAAGGGATACAACGTTCCCCCTTCTGCTCCGCGAGCTTTTACCTTCGCCTTGAAAGCTTTAAAGCACCCTGCATCCTCTTAGGAAAATTTCTTTAGGCAAAGTGCAAGCTGGCCCTACGGTCCCTCGAAAGCGTCTATTCGAGATTCACTCGCGTAGAGAATTTCTATTCGTTACTTCCAAAATGGACGAAAAAGATCGACGAACGACTTTACACGCGATATTTGCGTCGATTTTACGTGCAATCGGTGTTGAGAAACACCGACAAGTCGCTACATTTGAGCAGCGTTCGTGCCATAAAAGCAGCACACTTTTAGGAAGCTCGACGTCGAAACGAAGTACTCCGCTGGATGCCTAATTCACGATCGCCTAAAATCGTTATCTCCCGTGACGTCGAGTCGGTTATTGAATTTCGTTAGCGAGAACGTATATCGCCGGAGTATGACGTCGAGCGAGAATTTCGGCAATTTCAGCGGCAGATACCCCCCAGTATTTTTCGCCCTGTCGCATATTCCACGACCTTACACCACTCTGTTTCGTGGCAATTTCTCTCGCATGAGTCGAGCGTGTTGGCAGCATTGAATAGACGCTGAAAGAGGAGAGAAAGAACCACAGAGAGAGAGAGAGAGAGAGCATCGGTGTGATTACTCGGGAACTACCAAAGACAACATTTTGACAAAACTCCACCTTCGTTTGATAAATATCGTTCTCAATTCTATCTCTCATTCGAGTAAACTAAAAGTGGAAAATGATACATGGAGAACCGACAAATTTGCAAACGAAACTGGCCCGTGGTCGTGAGTGGAAGCTGTCCCAGGAGGACCGGAGGAACATTCAGAATCGTGAACAGCAGTCGGCCCCAATGGTCCACCATTGCTGGATCGAAACTGTCGTTTCACAGTCACGAATTTGCACGATCACCCTGGGACACGGACGCACTAGAATTGGCCGAAATGGAGATGGCGCTGCTGCGAATCCCCCGCGACCTCTGAATATTTCACCTTCTTCTTTCGCTCGTCAAAGGGTAAGTACGCGAGTTCCACGAACCGCAGATTTCCGGCTGCTCCGGACCTCGACGTTGGAACTTGCGGCTTATCAACCGACTAACCTTTGCCGCCGGAAAACGTGGAAAATTATTTCGGCTTTCATCGCTGCCGCGTCAAAGCTCGCAGACTTGCCGATCCCCTTTCCGATACCCGAGCCGAAAGGCTCCCGATAGAAGCGCGGTTTGCGTTACAGGGATTAAAAAGTGGACGAACGCGAAGGTTCGTGTCGGTGTTCAGTTTTCAGGCGACGAGTCGCGCCGGCTTTTCACCAGCGGCGCCAAAGTGCCGGAGAGCACGATGGAGAACAGGAACTTAGGCGTGATAACCTACGGGTCGGTGGTGTTCCAACTGAAGGACGCGAATCTGGAGGCGGACAACATCTGCGACTTCGTGTTCCGCGGGCTGAAGGTAGTCTGCAGAACGAAGGTGGTCACCGTCTGCCTGGTGTGCTTGACCATGATCCCGGTTCTTATGTTGATTTACGGTGAGTAAAGGGACCGAATTTTGGGAACGTTGACTTTCCGCGAATTGGATATTCCGCAATTGGAAGACACAGAGGCTGTACAAACGTTGTTTCAGCACCGTTTTCTTCCCAAATTTGAACATACTTTTTCGTACGTCAGAGTGTATAGAGGGGTTCTAAAGCGTATACGATATTCCGGATAATTTCGTTGAGAATTAATTTTGCCCCAAAAATTGCAAGTGTCGAGAGAATTCTTGGGCGAAAAAAAATAGGAGAAATGAAGGGAAGGTTCGAGTATTTTCACCTCGCGTGATTCGTGAAGTGTACATAAAGGAAAGCTTCCATGTTCGCGTCGAATCGATACGAGACTCACAAGCAGTTATCAATAAATTAACCGCGGAACTCGGGTAACTGTCGTTGCTTGTAACGTTATCACCTATACCGGTTCACCTCTATTAGCCTGGAAGGGGTCAACTCGACGACTAAGTTGGCCACAAAATAGTAGACTTCCCACGAAGGTGTCAAAGTAGTAGACTTTAGACGAAGCATCGTGATTAGCAAAGCAACTTTCGCTACAACCGGGGGCCACGACGGAAATTAAGAAAAATGGCGGTGTCGCTGCGAAGAAAATTCTCTCGAGCGTCGGCGATTTTCATTATCGGAAGTAAATCGCCCCGATAAGATGGCGTGCGCGAAGGATCTTTCTCCCTTTCAACATTTCCCTTTTTATTTATTTTTTCTTTTTTTTTTCTCGTAAAACCTGCCGATTCGAAAGGTTACGTTCACAGAACGATATGCAACGATGTATGAAACACATGCAGCTGTAATTTGCATACGATTCGACGTTAATGCGATGGAAATACGCCGCCGATGTCGAAGGGACTAGTTAACCTTACTAGCATTAATTTCTCTCCTAGGTCACGATGACGGTTTTAACGCGATTTCGTGGTCCGATGCTATAACTCGAATCGATCTACCGTGAGACGACGAAAAACGAGCCTCGGACAACGAAGAGTTCCTTCGGCCGGAACCACCCCCGATCTAAGTACGCGTGTACGTCTGGCTCGTTAAACCGCCACTCGTTAAAATTAATTAACACGCCACCGATACAACCCCGACTGCTTTTCACGAGGGGAACGCGAGTATCAGATACGAGTCTCGAAGGTGAATAATAGAAACTCGGCCGGCGAGATTCGAATCTGGAGCGAAAGGTGGGTGAAGATGCAGATACCGGCCATTCTCGGCTCGAGTCACGAAACGGTATTTCGCGGTTCGAGGCACGCTCTCGAGATCTCGAGTCGAAAGCCAGTGAAACGCGGGCGTCGTTTGCGAGCTAATTGACCCACACGCGAGCCCCGCGCTACTTCCCACACATGCTAGTCTCGATCCGCGAGCTACCGCGCTTCCGGTCGGCCATGGACTCGCGCGAGTCACCGGGACAAGCTCGTTCACCTCTTCTTCGCGCGCAGAACGGTCGTCGAATCGATAAGGAACACGCGGTCGGTTCATGGAAACTTCGGGATCGTCGACGTCGGTGGACGTCCCGACGAGTATCGCGAGAAATTTATCGTCACGTCCAGGTAACCGAATCCTGCGGCGCCCCCTTATCCGGCTGCAACGCCATGCTGGATCCGTTGATCGATCAGCTTAGTCTCGTTATCTCGATCATTACGGTCACTCTCTGATGGGACCGAGAGAACTTTCTGCGCTGGTGAACTTAAGCACGAGTATTTCCTTTCTTCTTTTATCGGTTTGACCATAGAGAACAATTGCCTAGAGAGACTCTTCGAAGTTATCACGGTTAGGAGATGTTTAGAAATTGTAAAATTTTATTCAAATTGTGATATTTTTTATGGAAGAAGACGTAAAATTCTTGGTCCCGGGGAAGCGTTTATTCAAAATGGCTAGAGACTCAGGATTTCTAAGGTTGAGTGTCGAACTGTCAACTTTCTTGATTCGACACGGAAGACGCTTTTGTTACGCGATATGTGGGTCTGTAGGGAGAAAGTTCCACTAGAATTAATAATAAATAATCGTAGATCGATTAAAAATTATAAAATTTTGGGACTCGAGAATCTTTTCTTTAAAATAGTTAAAGACTTGGGATTTCTAGAGTGAACACTGTCAAACTGTCAATTTTTTCGATTCTACACGGAAGAAGCTCTTGTTGCGCGATATGTGGGCCTGTTCGCACGAAGTTCATCTAAAATTAATAATAAATAATCGTAGATCGATTAAAAATTATAAAATATTGAGACTCGAAAACCTGTTCCTTAAAATTGCTAAAGGCTTAGGATTTCTAGAATTAACACTGTCAAATTGTCAACTTTTTCGATTCGACGCGGAAGAAGCTTTTGTTACGCGATATGTGGGCCTGTTCGCACGAAGTTCATCTAAAATTAATAATAAATAATCGTAGATCGATTAAAAATTATAAAATATTGAGACTCGAAAACCTGTTCCTTAAAATTGCTAAAGGCTTAGGATTTCTAGAATTAACACTGTCAAATTGTCAACTTTTTCGATTCGACGCGGAAGAAGCTTTTGTTACGCGATATGTGGGCCTGTTCGCACGAAGTTCATCTAAAATTAATAATAAATAATCGTAGATCGATTAAAAATTATAAAATTTTGGGACTCCAGAATCTTTTCCTTAAATTGGCTAAAGACTTAGGATTCTTAGGGTTAACACTGTCGAACTGCCAACTTTTTTGGTGGAAAAATTTCCACTAGAATTAATGATAAATAATCGTAGGTCGATTGAAAATTATAAAATTTTGGGACTCGAGAATCTTCCTCTTAAAATAGTTAAAGACTTGGGATTTCTAGAGTGAACACTGTCAAACTGTCAATTTTTTCGATTCGACGCGGAAGAAGCTTTTGTTACGCGATATGTGGGTCTGTAGGGAGAAAGTTCCACTAGAATTAATGATAAATAATCGTAGGTCGGAAAGAGAGGTCGTGGGTGCGAGGCGTGCAAGAGGCTCGCATGCCGCGTTACCCTTAGTTAAGTATCGAAATAGGACGTGACACAGTGAGTGAAAGTCAGGCAACGTCATTACCATTACATTATTCAACGCAGTCAGCGCGAAAACTTTTTGATATCGATTCGCCTTCGCGATACGGTTGCTCGTAAATAACCACGAAAACAGAAGCGATTAGAGCCGTGCGTGAGACCACGCTGAGGTGGAACCGATGAGTACTAGCCTAATCGTTACCGCGCCATTCGTCCTGGTTTCGTTTCAGGTTGGAACTTCTGGAAGGACTGTCCGGCGGAGTCGATGATAACGCTGTACATGGTGATCGGTGGGACCTTTGGCACCATGCTCATGGTGTTACTCATTTACTCGCAGATACGCTCGAGGAGACCGAACATGCTCACGGTGCCGTCGACCAGACCTCAAATTTCTTTCATGAAGTTGATCATCTTCATCTTGTCATGCTTCCTAATGGTCTGGTTCGTGATGGGTAAGTCGAAGAAAAATCAGGGACAAACAGTAATTGCCATTACAGCCGGGGCTGAACTATGGAGATTCTTAGTAGCCGATATTGGTACACATAAAGTACCACGTTCAACCCGTACATGCCAATTTTGATAAAATTTAATGTCAGATATAGTTCTCAAAAAATATTTGACACGTATTTTTATCGGTTATCGTTCATATCAAAGGGGTGAAATCAGCCCTCAAAGGTAGGGGTTGGAAGTATATTTTTTGAAATATATCGAGCAGTAAATTATTAGCAATTGTTAGTAACTGATGTTGGATCGATCGTTGCTTTATATTTTATTATTTCTATCACGAGTATAGACGAAAATCATTTTTGGTCGGACGTAGCATACTTTTTCATGTTCCACAAATATTGGATTTGGCATTTAAATTTTCTCATTTTTTAGCTTTAAAATAGCTGCTCTAACCTGTCTCTTCGTCCATGTTACTCCAATATCGACACAAATAATAAGGATTAAAACTACGCGATGACAAAGTAATAAAAGTAACAAAATACTTACTAATCGCAATAATATTTTTGTGAATGTTTGGTCCCTTTATCGTAAGTTATTTTTGCAACGAAGCGATTTGGATGCGAATTATAACAAAATTTTCGATATTCGTGGGCGATATTCGTGGCGAAAAGAGGGCACCGTGATCGATAGAGGATTCGAGTGTTTCCACACTCGATCGCTCGGTATCGAGCGGGTTTTCAACGCGAAACGACGCGGAACGTCGCGGACAAAAGCGATCGATCGCGTTCTGCTTGCGAGTAATTGCCAGATGTGGGTGGTAAGCTGCTTCGATGCAACCTAATTTTCGTTCGTGATCGCGTCTAGTTATAAAACCACTCGCCGCCGTCGGTTTACAAACGTAATTGCGTCCGTTTGAAAAGGATAACGAGCATCAGGCATCGGCATTTTTCCCGCGTGTTGTTGCTGTTCTTCCGAGTGTGACACGAGTTTGCTCGTTACCATTTACGCGGACCCTTTGACGTTCGACCGACGAAAGTTTCCGGGATGAACGAAGCCGAGACTGCGACTTCACTCTCGTGGACAAACGTACGCGTTTAATTTCACCAGGAATGACCCGAATTCCGCTCTCGTCGATTCTTTCGCGCATTTTCCACGTCCTCGGGGACGAACTCTAGCCCCATCCACTCTATCATTCTTCTTTCCGTTGCAGGAAATTACTGGATACTCCACATCATGTGGCCACCCTACAATTTCGTGGTGCACACGCCCAACGATCACTGTAACAAAACGCTCTACGAGTTCTCTTTGGTGCACCTGGGAGTGATATACATCACCCTTGGAATCACGCTGCTCGTGATAACCGTGCTGGCGTCTTTCAGAATCCTGGCCTGCCCGCTGCCGGAAAGGTAAGCGAAGCCATGGCCAACCGTGAATCGTCGAGGCTCACCGGTTCGATCCAACCACGACGATAGATCGCACGTTGATCCGTTCTTTGGATATCATTCGCGATACCACTCGCGATATCACTGGCGATACCGTTCGCGATACTGTTTGCGATACCACTCGCGATACCATTCGCGAAACACGCTGGCCAGGATGGTGGAATCACGAAGCTATGGAATTCGGTCGATAGGATTGCTAGTTAACGACGCGATAAACCACCGTGTTCCACATTCCCCTGAGGGAATTCGTGCGTTTACGAAATTATTCGATTGGGATCTCACGTATGGCAGCCGCGAGTAGAGACGCGGGGTTATGTAGGATTTACGGGAGAGATTTTGCAGGATGGAAGAAATCTGTTCCAAGGTAGCGATACAGATAAAAGGCATAGACGAAGGTATCCTTTTTCCTTCGTTTTCTCTAGCAGTCACTGGGTAAAGAGCTTTCGACTGTCCCCGCGAACGAAAGTTCAAGGGTTATAATGCTCTGCTGCTCCGTCAATATTGATACTCCAGTACGATCTCTGTTTCAGGAAGCGATTGTTTCTCGCGGCTCATTGAAACGCGTATAATCGAATTAAGAGTAAACGAAAACCGGTGCTGTTGCCTATTCATTCACCCGGGTTAATCAAAATTTCATGCGAATAAGATAATTCCGAGTGCACATACGCGGATGGTACAATATGTTGCACTCGAAATAGCATAGAGAGGAGAGGGATGTTCGTTCACCTGACTTCGTGTTTATTGCATATTGTATCCGAATGTCTACTTCTAGGCTCTCAATAGCTTGCGTCGGTACTCCGTCTCCTGCCACAAATTAAAAACCACCCCTATACAATTCTATTCTTAATTGTAACACTTTTATCCAATAACGCAAATTCGTGTGACCCATCTTTGCAATTCAGTTAGTCCAAGTGGACCTATTATATTCTGACCAATCGGACCCGTATACCCTCCAAATCCACGGTTGCCTATATCTAAATCGCGCTGATCCTACGTACACCCTAGCGCTTTATCGCTTCATCCCATCCAGACTCGACGTACCCTCTTCACCCTCTTCACCCTCTTCGTCCCTCGATATGTCACTTTCAGCCAATAACGAAAATTCCCCTGGCCTGTCTTATACCGTGAAAGAAAATAGCCTATCACGTTATGGCCAATCAGACACGCATTCC